CCTGGGCTGACTGCATGGGTGTTTCAGGGGGCGCACGCTGTCCAAATACCCCTTTCTCTAGCAGCAAAACGGACCTGCCTGCCCTGGGGAGTAACAATTGTACAACTTTGTACAATTTACAAAATTGAGTTTTCTATGGAAAACTTAGTAAATTGAGTTACAAATTGAGAATTAAATTGAGGACGTGTCTCACTTGCTCACTTACATAACTGTTTTTAATATAGGTTTTCTCTCGGTCAGTCATCCTGTCAGCCTGGGCTCTGAAAGCTCCCCGAGCCCTGTCCTGCCTGCTGCCCCTCCAGGAATCTACACAGCTCACTCCCCTCAGCAGGAATAACTTTTTTTCATTTATATCACTAATCTTCAAAATTTGTTAAAACTGACCTCATTCAGAAAGACTTAGCTAAGTGCTTATATATTTCAGTTGCTCCAAATTAATTTGAACGTATATNCCTCATTCAGAAAGACTTAGCTAAGTGCTTATATATTTCAGTTGCTCCAAATTAATTTGAACGTATATAACATATGCATGTATTATAGACACACGTGCGCATGTGCACACACACACACAAATAAAATATAAGGTGCTTTTCACACATAGACAGAACTCCAAGACTCCGAAGGGTGCAGATGACGTCGCCCTGCCTGTGATTCTAGAGGCTCCCAAAACAGCTGCCCATGAAACTGCTCCCACAGAGTAAGGCGAGTACTTGAATGTCCTCAGGCTCCTGGAAAGTCGAAGGTTCCAGTGGCACCAATGGTTCTAACCCCCCCCCTGCTCCCCAGCCAGTCACTCCTCAGCAGCAGAATGTGGCCCAGGTCAAAGCTCTCAGATGCAGGGCTGCTGAAGCTGGCGCACTTTCTACCTGGTAGATAAGCAGGACAAAGACTGGGAAGGAGTAGATGCTAGCCTACTGGGATTAATGAGGAAACAAAACATTCTTTTAATGTCATATTATTTTCACATAAACAGAATTCAGACAAAAATTTATTTGCTAATCTCTGGCTGGTCAAACTGGTTCTCTTCATTAAGCAGTTGTTGAGCTCCCATTTAATAAAGTGCCCTCAACATGCCCTGAGCTTGGAGCCAGGACTTGCTGCTGGGCACACAAGTGATCCTGGCTTTTTAAGTCACCCCAGGAAAGCTCTGAGAGAGAAAGTTCCGGGTGCTGCGGATGAGCTGGTATGCCCTGAGCCTCACTGGCGGTGGGCTCCTGCATACACGCCAGGCAGTCCCCTCAGCCACCTTGGGAGGGTGGCACCTGAGGCCAGGCAGCAGGCTGCTTGCATTAGAGCCCGGTTGTTGACCCCAAGCCAGTGCTCTTCCTTCTGCAGCAGTTGGGTGGCCTTCAGGTGACGGTGAGGGGCACGGACAGAGAGGATGCCCATGGGAGAAGAGACGGTCTTCCAGCCAGTTCTCAAAAAGACTTGAGGCGTCCAACTCACAACTGCTTTCCTTCCCCTGCCCCGCCAGAACCAAGGAATGACAGTCCCCCCCTTTCCCTTGAAGGCCGCCTTTACCACAGAATTGCCTACACTTCTAGATGCTAATCGGGTCCCACCTTTGCGATAACATGGCTCAGAAATACCTTGCTTTGGCCCCACTCTGGCCTCGGGTTAGCCTCCTGCTCCACAAGCCCCAAGCACGTTACACGGAGGTCACATGGGAGGCACCCTGCAGGGAACCTTGAAGACTGAGACTGACAAGGGCTGATCTGATTTCCAAAAATCAGGAAAAATGTAGACTCCACCAAATAGAGGTGGGAGTGCTCTATATAAAATAAATCCAGATTAGAGTGCTATTCTATGCAATGCTATCCAATAAAACTTTTTGAAATGACGGAAATATGCATCTTATCTGCATTGTCTAACATGGTAACCACTAACCACATGGGGGTACTGAGTGCTTGAAAAGTGGCTATAGCAACTGAGGAACTGAGCTTTAAATGTAATTCAATCTAATTTAGTTAATTTAACTTTAAATAACCACATGTGCTGGTGGCTAATGTACACTAGCGCAGCTCCGTTAATCTAAATGTCAGCAAGACATTCGGCAAGATCTTGGGCTATCCAGTCGACAGCGGGGAGAAACATGGGCTGACCTGTACTATAGTTAGATATACTCAGAACAGGTTTGAACAGCCATTCTCCGAGTGGTGATTAATGGGCTCATGAGAACCTGAAAGCGGTATTGAGCGAGGTGCTGAAGGATTCTGTGCTTATCTTGATCCCAGTCAACATTTCCCCCCAGGATCTGAGTAAGAGCTCTTGAGGGCAGGCTAAGCAAATGTGTAGATAAAAAGCTTCCAGAGACGGCCACCGTACTGGAAGGGAACCAGGGTCCCCTCAATTCCTACAGGCTGCAACTATGGACTAAAGGTGTTAAAATGCAGCATGGCCAGAATAGTGTCCTACAAGCTCTTACAATCCAATGGCGTTAGGATAGTGTGCCAGACGGTGTCTTAGCAGCTGTGCACTCTGGGGCTCTGATAACTCATGGCACATCCACAGGGTGGTGGGCATGACCAAAGAGCAAATGGGAACTTTGGAAGGGTTGACCAGAGGAGAGAAAGGGCTGTTTTACTTTGCACAGTGACAACCAGGTCAAACCTGAAGTCAGGAAGACACAGCTAAGTGAGGGATGAACACAAGGTGCTTAGGAAGAGAGCCAGAGCTACTAGACCCAGAGAAAAGGGAAAGGATAACACATGTATTTATGTTCACACACGACAGGAAAGAAGCCTCGCTTACCATTCATGGACCTACAGGTGAAAACTTAAGTGGAGATGGAATTTACAAGGGACACACTTTGGCTCAACAAAGGTAGAACATTTTAATGATCTGAAAGATCCTGGTGTGGGCAGGTGGTCTCTGGAGTAATGGTGTGTATCTGTCTACTGGGGGCCGAGAGGCTGGACACTGGTCAGGGGGTGCGGAGGCGACTCAAGGCTCTGAGGGGTGGCAGGAGCACCAGGTGGCCACTAAGACCCTGAACCCTGAAGTCCTGTGGCTGTGCATATAGTGTCATCTTCCTGTAGGTATCAAAAGCAGGGGCCCACACGCCCAGCAGGAATTAGACTCCTTAGTCCCAAAGGAGTTCCCAATCCTCACACGTCTGGGCCCTTGAAGGTGTGCCTCTTGGGGTTTACCTGGCCATCCCATTCAGATCATAACAGAAAACTGCTTCCTTTAAATAGCAAATTTATCAGTTAATAGCCCAAGGGGAAGTGGTGGTAGGGCATCTGGGTAATTTATTCCCAGAGGGATATTTTTTCCATTGCTTTATGACTTTGACATGGCACAGATAAAATGATCCACAACCATGGCTAGGAAGCTTTTAGAAAATATTTCCTTTATGGGATATCCCCAAAGAAATCTCCAGTGATAGGGGAACTCACTTCACCAGATAAATAATTAAGCAATTAAATAAGATGCTGCTGACACTGGCATTACCATTGTCCTTGCCGTCCGTCCTCAGTCACCTGGTAAAGTCAAACAGACAAATGGTAACTTAAAAGTAAAGCTAGCTAGATTAACAGAATCAACTGGACTGCCCTGGCCCAAAGTTCTACCACTGGTTTTCATGGTAATTAGATCAACACCTATGGGAAAGTGTAAATTAACACCTTATGAAATAGTAATGGAAGACCTATACATACTTTGATGATAGAACCGTATGTATCTCCTGAACTCATAAATTCTGATATGACTCAGTATTTAAAGCTTTAATGCATCAGACCAAACTGTCCTTCCATTAGGTAAAGGAAGCTTTCCATGACTCTGCTACAGAAGGTTGAACCTTTCACAACTTAAAACCGGGAGAGTGGGTCTTCTGGAAACAACACCTAACAAAGACGGCCTTTGAATGTTGTTGGAAGGAACAAAGACCAGGTTCTCTTCACTACCCAGATGGCAGCCAAACTCTGTGGACTTGAACCTTGGGTCCCCAGTTGTCAACTGGAAAGGGCTCCTCCAGATTCCTGAGCTGCACACCAGCCAGAGATCTAAAGTTAGAATTGACCACCAGTGAGTCTCCTCCCCAGAAGCAGAAGGAGTCTTGAAGTGGACTGCTCTCCCAAGATCACGGATCAAGATCTTCTCTCCAACACGAACCCTTTACCCCTCCTCCCTATTTGCTACCTGCTTCCTAGTCTATTAATGCATGGGAAGACAACACTACAATTAAGATTTCACAAACAATAGCTACTGCAGGAAACTTAACTAACTACAGGAGTGGCGACATTAAACCAAAAAGGACACAAAGGAAGAGACCCCTCATTTACCCTGTAAGTAACTTCATCAGAATCCCAAATGCCACTGTATGCTTAAATTGTTCTGCGAGTCCTTTTTATAAAGTTAAAATACTAAATCCACATACCCGCCATTCTTTGCCTCAATTTAACCCAACACTGGGGTGGGAAAATGAGATCTACTGCTCAGCCAGTGTAAATGAGACCATTTATAGGCTTCGTGTCAATCCCACATAGTTAGGTGGCCTTTCAATATGTAGTGATACAGTATTTGCGTCTTTAATGAATGATGCTAACACCTCTGCACCAGCTAATGGGTCCATAAATGCTAATATTTATGAGGGAGCCCTGTGTACACCTTCTGGCTACTCCTTTACATGCTGAGTGTACTGCTAAGGCCACAGCTGCACAACAGAAGTCCCTAGGCTCTCTCCTTAAGGTGGTTTTAGATAATAGAATTGTGTTAGGTTACTTGTTGGTTGGATAAGGTGGAGTCTACCCGGATCAACACCTCTGGTACTGTAGAAACTCAATTATAAGATATTAACAAACAAGCTACTTGGTTAAAACAGGTTGATACCTCAACAGGTTCATTCTTTGATTTATTGGATTGGTTCATGGGGAATACTTCCGACCCCTGGTATTGTCTTCCTAATAGTCATCATTAGAGTCTTAAATGCATCTACAGCTGTGGATTTTGTGCATTGTTTGGGGAAATACACGACGCACTTATGAAGGGAAGCAGGTAAGCTGAGTGCCATTATTTTGATTTATTGCCTTCTGAAGTACCATGGGGGAGGGCCTGAGAACAAGTCCGCTTTATCAGCAGTTCTAAAGCCGTATTACCTGAGATTTGCATTCTGGAAAAAAAAAAATCGAGACTGAATTATCAATAGGTACATCATGAGATTTGGGTTTTGGCCCTGATAGAAGAACCTGTACTAACCTGAAAAAGGTTATATGAGATTAAAGAAAGAAACCAGTTAAACACCAAATCCTGGTGAAAGGCGTGGATTTAACCACAGAGCCACGTTAGCAGAACACCTCCCTCTGGGGTGGTTAGGGACGCAGAATTTGAGTCGAGTGCAGGCTGCTCAAGGTGGCTTCCTCCCCAGGGATTGGCTGCCAGCTTCAGCATTCCCAGGAAGAACCAGCCCTGGGGTCGCATTTCTCTGTCCTCGGCGCCCTTTCACTTCTCATCATCCCGTCCGTAGTTAATTGTTTGTAAGGCCTGAGCTATGAGTGTCGCCATTTCTCGGGTGCCTGCAGCAACCACTCTGCAAGACATGAGGTCGAGAGGTCCGCCTGAGGACAGAGAAGAAGAGAGCACCAGGGTTATTGGAGAGGGCAGAATAGCCCAGGATAACTCAGCACGCGCCCATTCCCAGAAAAACAAAGCTCGTAGGCTGTGCCCGAGGCGGGAACAAACGGTGTGGCACAGATGTGAGCCTGGTCAGAGAGGGGTGATGCCTTTCAGCATTGGCACCACCCCAATGTGAGTGCAGTGGAGGTGCCACAGTCCAAGGCCGTTTTGGAGGCTGTGCTGGGAGAATGTAGCTTGAGGCCCAACATTCAGGACTGAGGTTCCAATGACTGGTTAGACCAGGACAGGGGAGAGCAGTTCTCAGCCTCCAGGCTGCATGGGAGGCACTCCAGACCCCACGAGTTGGTTTTTCCGACTGGCAACCCATCCCGGCTGCTGGGGGGAGCAGGCAGCTGGGCATGGACGCTGAAGCCATGTGCTTCGGGGGATGTGAGTAACGGCCTTGCTGGAGCCCTCCGTGCACACACGTGTGCTCGCGTGGTTAAATCCAGTGTCAGGCGCGTTTTTAATCTGAAACTGGTCTGCCTGGCCTTGCCATCTAAGGCTGATACCTCTTCAGTTTTATACTTTTCTGGCAGCTCAATTAAAGCCTTTCAAAGGAGAAAGAGGAAAAAAGTAGAAATGAAATGACAAAAGACCCCCTGCACATACCCAATAGTTAACAGGAAGCCCCCATGTTTCTGCTAACGAGCTCAGGACTGAAAAGCTGGGCGAGAATGGGGCCTAGAAGGACTCACCCAGCCCGACTGGTTATCCCTACACATTAGACGAGCCATCTCGCTGCAGCTAAGTGGACGTAACAGCGGTAGAGATGCTAAGTGGGGTTGCATTTGGCCAGTGGGGTCAGTCCCTGGAAGGCAATAACCTTGAAGCGTAAGTAACAGGCACCTTTCGGATCCATCCTAAAACCTCACAGGGCACCCACGTAGCAGACTGTGCTGATCTAACGCCAAACCACAGGGCCGTGGGGTACCAGCCTCCTCTCCGTCAACTGGGGAGCGTGACGCCTGTTCTGCCAGTCTCCTCGGCTTGTGTGCTTAGAAAACTGTCAAATGTTACGTGAATGTAAATGGTGGTGCTCTTCCTGCCCGGCCACATATCCTGACCCTACGGTCTATTTTCATGCCGAGAGGCATAGAGCAGGAAGGCAGGAAGGGCGGGAGGCTCTGGACCACTGCCTTTCCAATGCCCTCTCATCAGTAGAGACTCCAAGGAAGCAAGGGACATTCAGTCTGGAGGTGTCAGTCTAGTCTCCACTGTCGTACCCCTGGGGACTGCGGGCAAACCGAGGGTCAGACGGGCTCACCTGAGGTGTCCATCACGATGCCGCCTGCTTCTCTGATGATGACGGTAGCAGCAGCCATGTCCCAGCAGTGCAGGCCAAACTGGTAGTAGGCGTCCGCAGCTCCTGAGGCCAGGTGGCAGAGCGCCAAGGTGGAGCTCCCGATCACTCGGACCCTGGGGGAGAGGGAAGACAGCAATGCACGTGAGTGTCACGGTGCACAAATCGGACTGCTCTTAAATAGTGCGCGTGCTTACTTCAGCCAAAGTCACTCCCTCTGCTGAGCATCCCAGTCATTGAAAGTAAGCCACAGGGCTTCTACCAACAGGCTCAAGATCCAAAATCTAGAGTCCAGTGTGGCGCTGTCCAACAGAACTTCCTGTGATGATGGAAACGTTCTGCCCTGGGTGGTTCTAGCCACCTGTGGCTGGTGGGCACCTGAAATGCGGCTAGCACAACTGAACAGCTCAGTGCTTAACTCGACCCAAGTTTAACTTAAATCACCTCCTGTGGCTGGTGGCTATAGCATAGACCTAGACGGAGGATGGGAGACCAAGAGGATTCAACTGGACTTGGATTTATTTTCCTAAGTGTTTACTGAGGGAACATCATTTAGGAAGGGCCCTAAGCACACACAGGATTGGCCGGTTGGGTGGCTTGAGACCAGTTCCTTGGTTTTTCAAGGTTGCTCAGAAAGGAACGAAGGTCCCCTGTCCATTTCCTAACAGCTGCTGCAGGAGCTCCCACACTGTACGACGCAGCACCGCGGCGGCCTGGGCCTCAGCCCGGGCTGTGCGTGTTCCTGTCACGGGGACCGTTTTCTTTCAGTCCCCGGGGAGTTTGAAGCAAGACTGTGTGTTTGGCACATTTCTCCTTGGCCCCAGGGTGTTTCAGGAACTGAAGAGTCATACCCATGAGCTTTGGCGTGGAGTAACCTCTCCATGTTGCTCAGGAACAATTTCAGAGTAGCAGGGTCACGTTTGGGACCGATTTCTGTTAGAACCAAGGCCTTTGAAAGATCTGCAATAGAAAGAATGTCCTGTAATCAGAAAAATCAAGTCTTGGTTCTAACTGAATAGTCGGGGTTTTCCCTGAAGCGAACTTCAAATATCAGACCCTCATTCCTTCTAGAATAAGTCTCTTTTGAGTGGTTTAAGCTATACAGTTTTTCTAATACCTATGTTGAAAAGTAAGGACACTGTAACAGAGAGAAACAAAATCCACTCTCTACTTCCTCATCATCTGTTAAAGCCGCTTTCCGATTCTGATTTCAGAGGGAGGTTTTTCAGTTCTCTCTTTTTAGGACTAGTTAGCATGAAAACTTGAAGAGTTTGGTGTCTTAGGAAAATCACCATCATTCAATCACAAATGAAAACAGAATGACTCCAAACTGGGACCACTCAATGTCTGAAGGAAAAAAATGCCTCATCAATTAAATTTGTCTATAAGAACCTTTCTTTAACTGCTGGGGTCACAGAGATGGAAATGCCATTATCCCAAAAAGTTGGAGAAAGCAACTTTTAAGTACTGTCTTTGGAAAGGGAGCCCTCAGGGGTAACCCCCTCCACATAAAGGCAGACGTGGTAGCTGTGTGGCCTCTGCCGCGCAGAGTGGCGAGGCGCTCACGCCAAGCCCACGGATCCTGCGACAGGCGTGGGGGACCGCGTGCCAGGAAGCTGGCCCCTGGGCACGGAGGGACGTGACCGGGCTCCCTTCCTGTGCCTGACTCACTGGTGGGGAGCACAATCAGCTTGTCCTTACCTGGCCATACACCCAAACACAACCAAATTTAGGCTGTCATGTCTCTTCAGGCCTGCTGCTCGGGCACGATCAGCCACACCAGGTGTGTTCATGAAGTGGAGGGAACACCCCCCCCACAGGTTATTTCGCTCAGTGGGCCCAATCCCATGTCGAAATCTGCAGTCACCTCTCACTGAGGGACCAGATGACCCTGAGAAAGCAATCTCTTCTCAGACAGAACCTACACCCACTTCCCCCTTTTCTTATATCCAGGCTCCCATTTTATACTTTAAACACTTTCTAAAAAACCATTTGGCTCCACATCAAAGCCACCTGCCTTCCGGAGGTCTGAATCATTCCTTGCCAGGCACACCCAGCACTAAAGCTGAGCAAATGCACCTCCCATGTGTCCAGCGTAAGTGCACTGGGCACTGCCCACAACAAGGGATAAGGGGGCCACGCAGCTCCATGGTCTCCACGGACAGGACCCAGTTAACCCTGCCAGAGGTCACCTCCTACCCCCATCCCCCGGGCTGTAAAACTAAGACGGTATTTCCCCTGGAAAAATAGACTTCTTTTGAAGAAAAAGATCAACAAAGCCAGGCACAGTAGACATTTATACGTGGGTATCAAAGCAATGAACACTTTCCCTCAGACACAAGCATTAAGGAAACATTGATAAGAGTCTTCTTGTTTGGGTCGGTTTGTTAAACTGCTGATATTTTTAAATTTATGACAGGATTTATTTTTTTAAAAATATCTTTATTGATTTCAAAGAGAGGAAGGGAGAGGGAGAGAGAGAGAGAAACATCAATGATGAGAGTCATTGATCGGCTGCCTCCTGCATGTGCCCCACTGGGAATCGAGTNGAGAGAGAGAGAGAAACATCAATGATGAGAGTCATTGATCGGCTGCCTCCTGCATGTGCCCCACTGGGGATCGAGTCCGCAGCCCAGGCATGTGCCCTGACTGGGAATCTAACTGCGATCTCCTGGATCCTAGGTCAATGCTCAACCACTGAGCCACGCCTGTCTGGGCATGAGAGGAATTTTTGAGTTAAGTAGAATTGTGTTGACCAGTCCAAAAATCTAATCACTATATACAACACTATTTGGGGGGTGGGTTCGGAATGAATTCTGAATTATAAATATTTAGCTAAAAATGCCCCTTTGAACAATGATACATTGAAATTCGGGGAGTGCCCATTAAATTAAAATTTAAAAGGAAATTAGATGGTGTGCATGCTTTTTAGCCAGGGAAAGCAAGGAAGCAAGATGAGCAGTTTTGGAGGAGGCTGTGGAGGAAAGCAGAAGTGAAGCAGCAGTGGGTGGCCCCTGTCTACTCTTCTAATTTCCTTACCTGACTTCAGATCTCACCCCCCCCTCCCCCCATGCATGTGGACATCAGATTTTTAAAAACAGTTTTACAGGTTATTTTGTTAATTGCTCTTTTGATATAACAATATACCGAGTACACCTTTTACCATCCTTCCGTACTTGTAACAACTGAATGTTATTCTACCCAATGGAAGAACTGGTTGAACCTTCCCCCACAGATGAACATTTTCAGTTCTTGTTATTATAAACAATGTTATCTCTTTTTCTATATAGGTTTGTGCAGTCATGTTGATACATTTTTTTCAGGATAGTTTAATTGAAGTGGAATTTCTGAATGAAAGAGTATGCATATTTGAGATTTTGATAATTAAGGAAGACACTGAAGAAACACCCCCCCCCCACTAGAAAGCTGGACAATCAGTTTCCACAGGGAGATAAGTACCCACTTTTAATCAGGTTCATAACATGTGACTACTGCTTCAGGCCAAGGCCTATCCCAATCTCCTTATCAGAGGGAGGGCCTGGCTGCAGGGTGAACAGAGAGCAAAGTCCCCAGAGTGTCAGCCTAGACAAGCAGATTCCCCCGCATGCAGGGCTGGTGCAGGAAGGGCAGGGATTTTCAAACTAAGTGCCACCAGGCTGTTTCACAAGGGAAATTAAACAAAGTGTGGAAACGGCAATCGTTCACATCTTACTCTCTTCCAGACACCTCCATGAATGCTCTCAGTCCTCTGTCACATTTGCTGTCTCACTGTCCTTTCTTCACAGCTAGGAGACCAAGCTTGGAGAAGTGACCTGCATGAGGCCATGTAGCCCTTAAGCGGTTAAGGCCCAGACTAAAACTCAAGCTTGTCTGGTGATATGCGAAAGAAGGGGTTTCTTTCCACAGTTTTAAACTTGTGAAAAGGTGTCTCTGTACCCTCTTCTTCCAGCTGCAATGTATCTATTCTTTCTCACTCCTGCTAATATATTTTTTCCCAAATGAAATCAAGAATAGTAAAAAGGAAGTCTGAGTGCTGCCACCTACAGGCAAATGCTTTCTGTTTTATTTTGCCTTAGATAAGAAAAAAGGTAAAAATTACAGATCTCTTCTACTTATTATCTTCTTTTTTTTTATTGATTTCAGAGAGAGAAAGGGAGAGAGGTAGAGAGAGAGAGAAACGTCGATGAGAGAGAAACATCATCGGTCGGCTGTCTCCTGCACACCCCTCACTGGGGGTCGAGCCCACAACCCAGGCACGTGCCTTGAGATGCTCAGCCACTGAGCCACGCCAGCCAGGCCTGCTTAATATCTTCTTATACTATGATTATTCCTGATTATCTACAATTACTATGATATTTGTACTTTATTACCATTTTCCCAATATTTATCATAATATTTTAGTTTTTAATCAAATACTAATTGTATTTTTGATTTAAAATATTCTGTGTCTTCAGGGGTGTGTGGGTTGGGAATGGAGAGCTATTGCTTACTAAGCACAGACTTTCTATTTGTAGTGATAAAAGTTTTGGAAATAGGGGTAATGGTTGCACAACATTGTGAATGTAATCAATACCACTAAACTGTACACCTAAAAATGGCTCAGATGGCTAGTGTTATGTTATATACTGTATATTTTACTACAATAATAAAAAACAACAACTAATAGATTTTGAAGTAGGGCATCTCTGTATACTCTTTCAATAAACAGATTTTATTTAGGGTGAAAAGATGTAGTCTGTGACTTCCAACAGTTTGAAAACCCTTTTTCTATTTGAACAAAGTTAAAAATACCCAGAGTACCAAAGAGTACTGTTGTCTTAAGAGAAATTTTACAGCTTAAAGGCAAGTGTATATACATTGAAATATGTACTCCTGGAGAAAGAGGCAATTGTGCTTTAAGTCTGGAAAATGTCCCCTCTGGGCACTGGCTGGCTTTGCTGAGTGTAGAGCTCCCGAAACAACACTATATCAGAGTGTTTTCATACACACGTCCTAATTCTTTCAGACTTCTTAAAGACCCTTAAGAGCTATTCATATGAAAATAAAATTCAACTTTATTTAACTTAGAAACCTAAGTACTAAGAATGAAGATTGGTGGTTGGGGGTGGAGGCAGGAAGGGGGTGTGTCGGGGAGACAGTGCTTAATGGGTACAAGGCTTTACCTTGGAGAGTGCAAATGCACAGCACTGTGAATGTACTGCCACTGAATTGTTCACTTTAAAATGGTTAATTTTATGTTACTTGACTTTCACCTGAATAAATTATTTTAAAAAACACACAGGTAATTTGGAAATAAAAAGTACTCTTTAGAATCCTGGAGAAGACAGAACTGGAAATCTATGCAACAACCATGTAGATTTTAACCTTTCCAAGCCTCCTCTGATAAAAACAGACAGAACAACTAGGAGAGCAAAAAACAAAACTATAGACATCATCTTCAATAAAACCCCCAACACACACACACACACACACACACACACACGCACACACAACTATATGGTCAAGGTATATCTGAACCCCAAAACACAATGGGTGGAGCAAACCTCCAGCAGCTATAAGATCATTTGGCATCGTGACATCAGGAGGAAGAGAGAAGCATCGAGCATCTTATTGGACCCGAGAACAGGAGAACCTCAAAATCACCAATAGCCACTCACTGGAAACCAGCTTGGGCCAATATGAGAGGAGCTGAGCACACATCAATTCATGGGTCCCTGGTATGGGATGTGGGGTAAGGTCTGAAAGTAGGGAGCCAACCAGCCCTATGACCAGGGCCTCGTAGGGCACGTCCTGAGAAGAAATGCATGGGAGTGAATTCCAGAGTCACTAGACAGGAATAATAAAGGCAAAGGAAAAAGAAGATCCAGATAACAGTAAAGGAGGGAAACAGAGCCAAAAAAAAATCTAAGAGCAAGGCCAATTTTTAGCACATCACAAAAACAGAAGAGGGAGCTCTGGAGCTGTGAAAGTACAAAAACTGTCTTGACATCCCTCCCCACCCCCACACAAGGTCAGGAACACAGATTTCCAGTAGAAAAAAGTGAAAGAATCATGGTTGAATCCTATACACAATTATCATAAGGAAGAAGATCAGGGGCAGAAAAACATTTCTCTAGTCAATCAAGGAATGCCCAGAAAGATTTATCCACAAAACAGAAATAGCTTTATGTAAAAGAAATAAAGAATATAATATTTAATATCAACTGTGATTGAAAAAGAAAATTTTAAAAAAGAAGAAAGAAATAAGACTATATGAAAGAACAGCATAACTCAAAAGTAGAGGAGATAGAACTTAGGAAAGAATCAGAAAACATTTCAGAGGAGACGATAAAACTAAAGAAATACAGAATGAATAAGCCCAATGTATCATGCTTTATAAAAAATAAAGGATGAAAGAGGAGATTTAAAAAAAATTGGTGGAAAAGGTGAAAAAGATTGTGACAAAAGAAAGTGACCTAAAAACAAGGTAAGCAGAGGAGACCCAACATGCACATAATAAGAGACCCAGACCTGGCCAGTGGCTCAGTGGTTAGAGCGTGGGCCTGTACCCTGAAGGATCACAGGTTCAATTCCCGGTCAAGGGCATGGGCCTGGGTTGCAGGTTCAATGCTCGACCCTGGTCAGGGCGTGTGTGGGAGGTAACCAATCGATGTGTCTCTCTCCCTCTCTCCCTCTCCCTCTCCCTCCCTCCTCTCTCTCTCTCCTGGTAAAATTTGAAGAAAAAGCTACTAATAAAACTCTGGCCTCATCTAATCCTTAACCCCTACACAGTGTAGCTTTTTTTGTTTTTGTGAGTTGAAGATATTCCAGAAACGTTTAATAGGAAGTGGAAAAGAGAAGGCGAAGAAAGCACAGGGGAAAGATTAGTGGTGGTTGTTTCAATGGCTGTTTCCTCCAGAAATGCATCTTAATTCTAACAATGGGCTGTAGCTGATCTTGTGCAAAGACTCAAGTTTCTTCTTTGATAATGACTCATTTTGGGTACTATGTGCCAGAGAATTTGCTGAGTGTTTTCTACGTGTAATTTTATTTAACCCTCCATGTCTTCATCATCATCACTCTGCTTTATATATGAAGACTGAGGTTTGGAGAGGTGAACTGACAAGTCACAGCATTAGAAGGTGGCAGAATCAGGATCTGAACCCAGGTCTGCACAACACCTAAAGACAGTGCTGCTAAAGAGTCCTTTCCGGCCTATGTACAGCAGCTCCTCTGTGCAGTGGTAAATCACTCCAAATTCAAGCTGGGGGACAGGGGCAGGACAGAAAACAAATGCTGTTCACTTAATAGGTACAAAAAATAACAGGAACTCCTCCCATAGAAACCTAGTTGCCCATCAAATAGAAAACGACCAGGTTGAAACACACACTGGACTTTATAAGTCAGAAATCAAAACAAAAAAATAGTCATGGAAGAGCTTTGGAATGTGTGTAGCTGAGGAGGGTTTATGACAATGAGTGACGAACACTCTGGGACAGAAGGGCCTATGATGGGCCCAACGCTGTGGTGACCCCAGGTGCCTGCCCATGTGGGAGGGGTGAGCCAGCGCTGGGCGAGTGGTCTGAAAGCCCCTCTGAGCAAGTGAAGCTCTAATGCACTGCTGAGCGGCGCAGGCAGCTGACCAGAAAGCCGAGTGTGTGTGAATCCAGTTGAGTGTTAGGTAATCAAATAAAATATAGAGCAAAGTTCACATAAGCGTGTTTAATAACATGCTTTCTCACTATTGAGTTACACAATTCAGCTTGAGCGGTTGCCTCTTGGCATGCATGGCTGTAATTAATGCCACCTTTTACTCAGCCAAACAAAACGTTTGTGGGAGAGGGAGAAATGGGGCAGGGCTGGGACTCAAGCGGTAACTGGTTAGTGCCTCCTGCTGCTCCCGCCTCTATCTGAAGCCTCCTGTGACGTCTCCCCTTCCCCTCACCCTGGGCCTCCTGGGGCCTCCTCAGACTCCCTGAGGCAGTCCTGCCCCGACCTGTTCTTCATACAATGACAGGTCACCTCCCTAACAGACCAGCTGTTTGTGGGGTCATGGCACTGCAAGGCGGAGTCTGCTACAGCAAATAGCCCCGCTGCGCCTGGATCAACAGTCGTGGGATTGCAGAAACCCAGACATAAGAAGTTAGCGATGCAGGGCTCCTGATGATGCCGCGTCCACCAGATCATCATGGATCAGAGCTGGAGAGCCCCTTCCTTACCAGGGGAGGGCAGGGCGCACCTCAGTCCTCTCATGGCCTCGGAGGCCATCTCGGCACACAGGTGTCATCCAAGGAGGAAGAAAAGGCAGAGTAAATAGAGACAATGGAGAAAGGGCACTAGGAAAGACACTTTTAACAAAGAAGCTGGAAATGGGTAGAGGGGAGGCAGCAGGAAGGCAGAGGGAGCTCGGAGAAGTGTTGACACCACAAACCAAAGCCATGGTGGGTAAAGGAGATAACGGGGGAGGGGGTATCTTATGATGTCCTGCTGCAGAAACACGCAAGTAAGGAGTTAGCAGAAACTGTGCTTTCTACTTTTTCAGACCCAAATATGGACATTATGGACCTTTTAAGGTCTTCCCCTAATCCACCTGCTCCTGGTCTTGGGCTCTTCTCTTCACTTGTCTCGCAATTTTCTGTCCCTGACAGTATCTGTCCTACAAAGTGCTAAGCTATCGCCAGTTTAATCAGTGAGAGAGAAAAAGGCCAAAAAGAGTCACTGAAACACCTAAACCAGCACATTGGTATTGACACCAGTAATATGCAGATTAAATATAATGTAGTCCCTTTGTAAGAGCTACTGGGTGCCCTTGAGGTTCTGCTTGAGGCATCACAAGGACAGTGGGTCATCTGTGGTAAGTGAAACATCACTTATGTACATGATTTCTCACAGAAACTGAAGCCAGCTAGTTAGTCCACAACCAGGGAGCCACAGACTGCACCTGGGTGACATCATCCAGGGGGCAACATGACAGCTCACACTTATCCGCACGCTCTGAGGCCAGAGCATGCTTCTGACTCTGCCCGTGGCATTGGACTGCTAGAGGCCAAATCATAACTAATGACTGGATTTCTTTAAGCATTCAAGATGAAAGATGTGAGTACAAAATAGAAAGAGACTATTTAAAGCTCCTAGCCACATTCACAAAAACATCAAGATACAGAACTGGCTCCATTTCTAGTTCATCAGGGACACAGTGTCCCTAAAAAGAGATTGAACTCTCAGCAGGAGATTTCCACCACTGTTTCAGGGAATGGTGCTTTTTGGCATTTTCCATGGACATTTCTCAATCTGAAGTGAACTGAGACAAGCCGCGTGAAGCCCTACCTGTCTCCCCGGAGACCTGCAGCCGCTGGCCATTGCAGAAGGCACCCCGGCCTCTCTGGCCTGTGTACAGCCGCTCCTCTGTGCAGTGGTAAATCACTCCAAATTCAAGCTGGGGGGCAGGGGCAGGACAGAAAACAAATGCCTTTCACTTAATGGGTACAGAAAATAACAGTAATTCAAAGGTGAAGGTGTTCTTGCCTGGCCAGTGTAGCTCAGTGGTTGAGCGTCAGACCATGAACCTGGAAGTCAGGGTTCAATTCCCTATCAGGGCACATGCCCGGGCTGCAGGCTCGATCCCCAGAGTAGGGGGCGTGCAGGAGGCAGATGATCAATGACCTGCTTTCTTTTTCTTTTTTTTTAAATATATCTTTATTGATTTCAGAGAGAGGAAAGGAGAGGGAGAGATAGAAACATCAATGATGAGAGAGTCATTAATTGGCTGCCTCCTGCACGCCCTCGACTGGGGATTGGGCCCACAACCTGGGCATGTGCCCTGACCAGGAATCGAACCCTGATTGCCTGCATCCTAGGTCGACGCTCAACTGCTGAGCCACACCCGGCCAGGCTCAATGACCTGCTTTCATCGTTGATGTTTCTATTTCTCTCCCTTCCTCTCTCTGAAATAAAAGATATTTAAAAAAAACCAAATAAACAAAGGTGAAGGTGTTCTAAAATGCAACGACGATGTGATAGAAAATACTTTTCAAAAAGGAATTAAAAGTCTAGATTCAAAATTAGACCTGCATGGAAGCAAGCTTTCTTTTTTAAAAAATTACTACATTTAAAAGTGTACTAAAACTAAAAAAACCATATTAAAACTTAACATCATAACCAAGCATTAGTAATTGAAAGTTATTGAAAAAACTTAATTCTTTAGAAAGGCTTTTTCCCCCTGGGGTGGTGGGAGGCTACTTGTGACAGTAATCAAACTCCACAAGTAATCCTCAAAACTGCTGATGTGTGAAGAATGCGTCTAGGGCAGTCCTAGGAAGACCAAGGTGGCTCGCCAAAGGGGGCTCATCCCTGAGCGGGCGAGCGCCACCTAGTGGCCGCACTGCCACAAATCAGTGACCAGGCCACGGCCACAGCCTCCCACTCAGGGATGGTAAAAGGAAGAGGCATGAAAAAAAATGCTACCTGACACCCATGTGTTTCTGTGACTTTCCTCTACTGACTTCTCACTAGACAGGGTTAACAACAGCAAGTGTGCTCGCTCTGGGGGTTAGCCAAGGACCCATCTCTTTGGAAATTAAGAGAGACCCAGGGCCAAATGCCTCAGGAAAGTCTCGGCTGGCCCAGGCTGAATTTGATTATAGTGCAAGAGACTCCCCAACCTGCAGGAATTGTGTTTTCCACTGGGGAGGATGGTTCGGTCAGCACTTACCGAGGGCCTACAGACTTCCAGCAACCCTTAACCATCCTCCCTGCTCCCCTACCCTGGTTTAAAGGGCTTCCCAAATACAGGTCAGCCTAGAATTGGGCTGGACTTGGGTAGCCTGTGGTGGAAGCCCTGCACCCCTTGGCAAGCAGGCGGCCCTCAGGCCTTGAGGGAACAGTGAGGAAGGGTGGGATGCTCCCCTTGACCAGGGGGCATCCACTATATGCCCAGGCCACCAGTGCACAGTCATACACACCAGGCCCATCCCAGGGTGTGGGCCTCGCCAGCTGGCGACCTCGCCAGCCCACAGCACTTTGCCCTCCCTCAGTTACTGACACAGCAGCTGTGAGCATCACCCTCTGAGGTGACTGCTCGACCCCCTACCTGGTTCGGTCACAACATTCAACAGAGAGACAAGTGAACAATTAACTCCTTACTCAAATTTCAATATTAAAAATCTTGCTTATCTTCAACTGAAGCACTTTTACAGGGGTATAGACTTCTCTCCGCTTCCATGCTAGGGAATCTATGCTAACACTGAGGATTAAGATGAAAAATGGTGTTCTGAAGGAGGGCTGCCTTTGAAAAACACTGAGCCCAGTCTTATTTAAATATAATTGTAGTGATTACAAAGAAATGAAGGCCTTTCTAAGTGCTATTGCTTAAACTGATTAATAAAAAGTTGCAGGCCCTCAGATGCTGCTGGCTCCAAGGGTCTCTGGGAACCCTGAAGCAGCCACGTTCTCACACTAACAGCTAGGGGAAGATAAAGAAGAATTAATGGAATATTGGGATTAAAAATGTCCTCCAAAAATAGGAATTCTTTTTGTGTGTGACTAAATCACACGCCCCCGGGGTCACATGGAGACTAACTCGGACAATCTGCTCAGAACTTCTCCTTCCACAGTCACATCAGAAAAAGACCAGGGTGAAAACAAGGGTGGCCACAGAGCCCCGAGTCTGCACATCCCATACTGGTTTGCATCTGTTTTTCTCAGATTTGAAAAACACATGCTTGGATTTACTAGTCATGACTAAGGCACATGACAAAGAGAGAGAAACAGGAGTGCAGAGGTTGAAACCAAAAAGGGAGATGACTAAATGAAACCTGAACCGGAGCCCTGGGGACCCAAGGGGCTTGGGGCTGCTGGTCCAAGGGCCCCACCCAGCACGTACCTCCTGGTTCACAGCAAATCCAATGCTTACTGCCACGGTTGGAAATCTGCAAAGGAAAACAGAATGGCTTACACTCTAAAACATACTGGCCTCTTGCAAACTGACACGGGAGCACTTAGGAGCCTCTGTGTGGCTGTGCAGCATCGTCACTTAAGGCACAGAAGGACCTTTTCACAGTGTGGGTGGGTCTGTTTTTTTAAAAACTACTTCCCACAATTTCACTAACTGCTTCCAAGACAAACAGGGTTAGCTGAGCATGTTGTAAGATAGCAGCATTCTGCAAGTCATGTAAAGTTGATGTAATTCAACAATGACCAAGTACCCAATTGACAAGAGATTGTAATAATCAACTTTCTGGTTCTCAGAGACCTAAAAGGACCACTGAGACCTCCAAAAAGGCCAGATGCATGCATGCGCCAGGCAGAGTGGTGAGGGCCCCCCAGGAGGCGACATCACAGGTGCCGGGCCACAGCCTCCACCTAGAGGCTGGGTCTAGGTGATAACTGCCCTCCTCACTCCAACAGCAGGCACGGGCCACAATGGGCGAAGGCTGGCTATGACGTCGCAGTTTGCCTGTGGTTTTATTCTGAGATTTTGTTGTTGCTGCTCTGCATCTTTAAAATAATCTTTCCTTTATGTGAAGATCATCAGAGCTTAACAAGTAGGAACAAGGAAAGGCTGGGTACTGCTAACCCACAGGAAAACTGTGAAACCAGTCATACCCGGATCTGAGCGCTGACTGCCAAGGTGGCGGCCACGTGACACTCATCACTGGTGGCTGGGTCACTGAGCAAGTGCACTGCGAGCCAGGCTCAGCTTTAGTTCCCCTCTCCGAGAAGCCCTCTCCCACTTGCTTTAGTTCCAGCACCGCCACTACTAGACATAAGGACGAACAGGTCCTATCTGAGCTGTAGTCGCCAAAGGTTTCGGGTGTCTTTAGGCCACGAGAATCACATGGCCATGGCCCTCGATGGTGTTCTGGAACTGTAAGGGTCAGGACCATGGCTTCATTTACAACTGATGCTCTTCTCCAAGTTGTCTCTCTGGCCCAATGTCCCCCTTGGTCCTCCGGCCACTGGGGCCAGTGGACATGTGGCCTTTACCACACCATAAGGCTCAGCTGCCCGGTCCCCACTACCAGCACACAGAATGGTGAATGAGAAATAACAGGTGCTCCACTCAGCAAACTCATTCAAGAGGGGAGACCTGTGATGCCACATGAACTCCCCAGGGGGTGTCAAGCTTTAATTAAAATTATAGTCTAGTGACACTGTTGCTATCACCGGATGGTACTATTCAATTGCCTCAAAAGGGCTACCTGTGTGGGCATGACTGACTGAATTCTTACAATAAACCACATTTAGAAAAGGGTGATGATTAACATGCTACATGAGGATTAGTTTACCTACTTACATATAAACAGACTGCGGCAACACATAAGAGGACAGTGACAAGGGCGAGGACCCCATCATCTATCTGGCTGAGCTCACACTTTATCACTTTAAGTGAGGAAATGGAGCATTTCCACGTCATCTATGACAGGGGCCCTCCAAGTATGGTCCAGGAATGCAGATTCATGGGATGCCCCAACTTACTGAGTGGGGAGCTGGAGATGGGCCAGGAACCTGTGTCAACCAGCAATCAGGAGTTCTATGTGTGTTCCTATCTGAGAACCATCCTCTGGAAACCACATCATTTCAACACCCTCAGTCCTGGACAAGTGGGTACAGCTTCAACACCTGCCCCATTGGCTTCTGGGACCACGCCCCTGTCACCTCCCTGGGCTCTGTAGCCTACTTCCCTCTCCCTCCCCCCACTGGCCCCTCTGACCTCCCTACAACCTACTGTTCTTTGGCTGTTGTTAGTCTAGTCAAATTAATCCGGAACAGCTTCTAATGTGTTCCTCATCCCATCTCCTGGTGACATGAGGTTTGCTCCCACTCGGAATTTCACCCCTCACATACCACTGCCTACATGTCATGCTCTTGCAGCTCCCGGGCTGTGCACGCGTCCTTTCTAACCCTGCTTGCTTCTCCAGGGGTCCTTCTTAATTCAACCCAACATTGTAAACATAACAAAGACAATGGTTTTAAACAAGTGAAGGTTTCCCACAAGTGGAAAACCTTATTTTAAAAATATCAAGACTTGATCACCTTTTTAATGAGACTATAAACATATCAGAGGTTTGCTTATATATTCCTGCCTCCAAAAATGCTGCTTTGGGAAAGACAAAGTCTTAGAGAAGAGGACAGTTTAGGTACTAGAATGGGGTGACCCATGCTTATGCTCACCTGTGCACAAAGTTGCAGGTGCCGTCGATGGGGTCGACAATCCAGGTGGGGCTGGGGGTGAGCACACACTTGGCTCCTGCAGCTGCAGCCTCTTCTGCAATGAACCTGTGGTGGGCAGGAGCTCAGCCTGAGAAAATGCACCAAGAACTCAAGACAAAGCGCTTCAAACTGCTTCCAGTCTCGTCGAAGACAAAGCAGACACAGTAAAGAGATTTCATTATCATTTCTCTGGCTCAGACAGAGGCAGAGTCTGTAACAGACCATCTGTGCTTCCATTTGTCTGCCAGTCTTCTGACTCAGCAGGATTTAGAGAACACAAAGTGACACTTTGATGTAGGAGTTTGGGACAGCGTGAGGGAGTGTGAGTGGGCCAGGCAATAAAGAAATACAAGAATGAAGTCCCTGGGAAGCAGATCTTATAAAGCAATGCTAAACTCTAACTTTAGTCTGGAGGAAGGAAGGCCAAAGACACACGAGAAGGAAGAGCTTGAGGCAGACCAGCCTCGGAGCAGGGCCCAGGCTCGGGTTCTAGCAGTACCCTGGAAAAGACACACTCACTGGACCTGAGATGTTAAATGTCACCTATGGCTGTACCTCCCAGGCCTGTACCTAGCCTGGCCTCTCCTAAGCTGCACACAAGTGACAGCTGCATCTGTCTCCACCATATAGGCTCAATGGGAGCTGATAATTCTCCACAGAGGCCCTCTCCACTCTGGCCTCTGGCCCAAGAACCCAGGTAGGCTGCCCCACAGGGGACTCCTGCCCCCTGGGAACACAAGGGAAAGGAGAAAGCAGGAGAGGTTAGGATTATTGCCCTATCCCTCCCTTTCAGTGTCCCCCACCCGCCATCCCTGGCAGCCCCCACAGGAGCATCCCAGCCTCAGGCCCCTGCATCACCCAGCTTTAGGGGCCCCTCTCCCTGGTCCCCTCCTCTGTAATTAGTCCTCTGTAGTCCAAGCCCTCCTGAAACCATACTTATTGAGTGGGCTATCTATTTGCTATTAGGAACCTGATCAAACCAACCAACATCTCAAAATTAGCCTGCACAAAAGGGAGCTCCTAGCTGTCTTTATTCACATTTATCTCAGCAAAAGGCACTGCCAAGGACCCAGCTGCTTAGGCTGAAAATGAGGGAAGGCATCCTCAGGTCTTCCCTCCTGTCCTGCTCCCTTCTCCACCCTCCACAGGCTGTGCACAGGCTCGGCACAGCTCGGTGAGGCATCAGTGTGTGCATCACAGCCACCACCTACGAGCTGGTGTCCCTGCAAAGCTGGCCCTTACCTGTGCCTCCCAGAGCTGTTCTTGGGAGTGAAGAGCACATTCTATCTAAAGCAGACAAGACAATGCTCAGCACACAAGAGTGCTCGGGACGTGCTCCTAAGTGTCACAGAGCCAGGTTCACCAAGGTGGGGTCTCTGCCCCGGCACTGCCATGTCACCAGGGCCTGGCCTGTGGCAGGCACCAAGCAAACATTTGCTTTATGGACAAATACAACACCCTACTGAGAGGTTTTTTCATTAGCATCTCCCGTCATGTCCATGTCTGTACTAGAGAATAAGAAGGGCTGAAGACAACACATTTTTACTAAGCAGGAAACATGAGTGACAAACAAGAAATGCTTCAGGTCCTACTGCTGGCAGTTGGTGTACTGTCCGTCGTGGTTGCCAGGCAGTTGCCTGGCCCCTGATGTCAGAGGCTACGAGGTCAGAATGCTGGGCAAGACACTATCCCTCAGCCGCAAGGCGCTCCTAGAAATCGCTTTTCCCAGAGGAGCCATGTGTCTTAAGACCTGTCAGCAATGAACTTGCAGATGAGACTGACATCAAATTATTAATAAAAAGATGGAAGCAGAAACCTCTGTAACTGCTCTGTGCAACCCAATAGCCACTAGCTACCTGTGGCTGTTTAAATTTAAATTAAATTAAAAAAAAATTAAAAAGTCAGTTCCTTAGCCTCACTAGGCACATTTCAAGAGCACGCAAGGCACATGGGCTAGGGGTTATCACTGAGGACAGTACAGACAGAAGTTCTGTGGGTCAGGCTGTCCTATCCATAGGGCTGTGAAATACGAACGGGTACCTTGCATTCTAAGATCACGTCTCAGTCAATTGCAGTGCTGTCCTATGCACTGTAATTCACCTGCTCCCCGACAACCCTGGGACGCCCATTCCCGTTTCATAGATTATGAAATTCATGCTCTCTATGCACACACAGTCACCCAGCCCCCCCCATCTTGTAGATAAATTATGTGGAGGTGGATCAGGGTATATGATGAGTGTACACGTATCATTTTCAGGTTGGTGTTTCCACCTTCTCCTCCCCAAGGTCTCCTAGAGAAACCCACACAGGAGCAGGCAAAGCACTGAGGTTGGGGAGCACTGAGTGTGACACCTGAGAAATGCATGCCTTGAAAAACGCCGGCTGGCAGAAAAGCTTGGGTGAGCGCCATCTGCCCCAGAGGTGTACAATCCAGAGTGCGACCAGAGGGAGCAGATGCCGGCTGCCTGCTCCATGCCCCCTCCTCCTGCTGGGAACTGCCTCCCTACCATCACCTCCCTCCTAGGCTGTTGGATCCTTTGGGTCACATCACCCAGGCAGGCAAGTCCAGGTAGAAGACACGAGGAAGCCGGAGGAGTCACGCAGGGCCGGCCAGGGCGCGGCCAGGAGGTGACGCCCGAACGCCTAACCCCAGCAGAAACACAGGTAATGTGCACAAAGAATTGCTCCACTTAGCTGATGATTAAACATGGAATTAGCTCTGCCCATTTCCTTGGCCAAAGCCTTAAGGAATTATATCTGTTTTCAATGCCTTCTTCTGCAGCTACGTGATTTTCCCTGAAATGGCTTATGAATATGTTCTTAAAGAAAAGGGTCCACACCCTAAAAACATACAGGGACCAAGGGCCAAAGCTTAAATTGGGCACACGCTCGATAAAGCAGTAAGAAGACATTACTAAGGTCAACATGAGAATGGAAATGACTCACACGCAAAGATCAGTTCCCAGGAATATTTGGGATATTTTTCTTTTCTGAAAGTAAACATGATTTTAAGTGGGGAGCTGGTACCTATGAGAGCTGGAGGGGAAACTGCTGGGGTCTCCTGGAAGGAGGAAGGACTTGTGGGACAGACCTCTAAGGTGCATGTAGAGAGCATGGCCTGCAGTGCAAAGGCCCTTCACCGGGCACACCGACAGGGTCTCTGAAGATACACGGGGCCAAGAGGCCTGTTAGTTCATCAGCAAAACGTGTGGGACGCAGGCTCTGGGGGTCGCCAGGCAGCTTGTTTGCGGCAGCACCCACAACGCCCCTGTTAGAACAGCTTTTGTTCTGCACAGCACTGCTGACGGGAGAACGCAAAGCGCTCTCATGAAGCCCTGGACTTCTCCAGTAGCTGGCTATTCACACCCGGGAGTTCTTCTCCTCTTTACCCGGCTGCCTGAGAGGAGAGGAAAGGTGCCTCGGTCACCTCCATGCTCAGCCACCTACCTGCTCCATGCCTGTGGGTGGCATTTTGAAAGCTAACAGGGGTGTGGACCATGTCCACTCTTGAGGCACTAAAAATTGTATGTGGGGAGGGACGTAGAGATTTTACTCACCTAAACCTGACTGTCCTCGTGTGGGAAGCTAACACCATAGATGGGAGGGAACATTCTCCAGCTCTCCACAGAGGGAGTGCGGAAGGACATCCACTTGGACAAAGGGGAGTGAGAAAAGAAAATGCGAGACCTTAATAAGAGCACTGGAATATCTACATAAAATCAGGGACACAAATAGAGAAAAACAATGCAAGTGACTAAATGTGAGGCGTTCCCGGGCTGTATCATTACTCCATCTGATGAACAAGGGGAAAAAGGCAAATGGGATAAGCTTAAGTTGGGGGACACATTAGAATGACCCATTCTGCTGTGTAACGCCACTACTTTCCCCTTTTTTCTCACAGTCGTAACTGATGGCCAAGCGCATCTGGGGCTTTTCTTCCTGGCTAGTGTCTACTCCGTGACAGGTCAGGCCACGAGGGAGCCAATTAATGTTCCTCTGCCTCGTCTTCTCAGGCTGCACCCAGCACAAAACACAGTGGGAACATGAAGGAGAGCAAATGTCTAGCTGGCGGTGCCTGGGAACATATTTTTTCCAAGTCCAGGACTGTGCTGGGCTCACTGCAGGGCACAGGAGTCACCACGACGGACAGGCCCCATCCAGCCAAGGCGGGTCCAGGCCAGGCCAGGGCAGGGCAGGCCACTGTCAGTGCCAAGCAGGTCACACTGCTGTCTTCCTCCCTTTGCCTTTGTCAACCCACACAAAAGAGACAAGCACGAGTGCATATGCATATGGTTTGGTGATGCTACTGAATATTTTCAAAGTTGCAAAACTTGGATCTAACTCAAAATCAACTGAAAACAGGTTTAAACATGCAACAGAGACAGGCCTGGATGGAGACTGTGGAACTCTCGACCTGGACCTGCTGGTCTGCTTTCTGTCATTATCACTGGGTGTCAGCATTAGCGCAGGAACTGCAGAGCTGATCTTGGTTGGGTCCTTCATTCCTCGGTGAGGAGTTTGAGACCCTGAAAAGCAGGGTCATTGCCAAAGCGGGGGCCAGAAACAAGTGTAAACCTCACTAATCTTTGATTCAGTCTATGCCTGTCGTTCCCATCAGGGACCCAGACTTTGGATTTCATGAATGAATAAAATAAGAAACCAGGGAGCCTACATCAGATGGTTAAAACAAAGCAGTTGCAATCTATCTTTAATATTCTTTCATGAAAGACTAAAGTGAGGAAGGACATAAGCTCAGAATAAAAGAAAGTCCTTCCTAAAACAGGGTGACAGGCCACCTTCTGCTAATATGCTGTTTAAGGGCTATATTGACATACTGTGAATGCAGAATTACAGCAGACTGTTTTATTTTATGATATGAATGCAATTTTTCCTATCATAAATTTGTCTATAATCTAGAACATAATTAAATGCCAAAAATTCTGGTACTTTCTTTTAAATCTTAGTCATTAGCAAAAAGCAAACTAAACTTGGTCATAGATATATTGAAAAATGATTTCATCTAATTTGAATTTTCTAGGCAAACAGAGCAGAGAATAGGAGCAGTGACAGCCAGTCTTCAGCCATGTCCCCACACTGCCCTCAGAGCAGAGAAGAAAGTGGTGGTAAAGATCAAGGGGGTGACCACAGATCAGCCCCGTCTCTGCCTCATGCCCTGGGGGTATGAGCTTGGGGACCACAGTTTGGGCACCACTTCTCTAAATGACCGATTCCTGGACAGGTGTGTGCATCTGCACCTCCCAGGGCTTTTTCAGAAGTGGAGGTTTGGCATTAGCCAGCTGGAGATGCTCCCGGAGTAAGGTGCACTGATCTGGGTAGATGGTTTCCAAAGGGGCTTCAGAGTCTGACGGTCCCCTGGTGACCGCGAGGCTGCCAAGTGGAGGTGGAAGAAGATGCATTCACATATATAATATGCTGACCTTTATTCTGTGATACACAGCAGGATTTAAATTTACCTTGTGAAGAAGGAATCCACACCCCATACTGACACAACAGTGGATCCAAACCACTAGCAACTGCTGCCAACACATACGATAGGGAGTGTAATTTCAGAATTTGGTTGGTAAGAGTACTGTAACCTGATTGAAAACAGTCAGAGCCCCGATAATACTATTATGTCTAGTCTGCAGTGACCTCAAGGTCTTCAACAGGACCCCGCATAGCCGACCCAGCCCTCACCTCTGTCATAGACAACTGGACCAAGCCCACTGCAATCTCGAGGACCAAAATAGTTTCTCATCCAGACACAGCTGCCAGTTTCTTTCCTCTCAGCGAACAAAAGCAAACTATGAAATTCTTTTGACATTGCCACTTAGATTTTAAAAAGTTAAAAAATTAAACATTTCAGAGCCTATAAAAATTATAACAGATGGCAGGGATCCTGACTTCACACAGAATAAGGAAATATGAAACAAGAGACACTCAAGCACAAAGGTTGTCAAAAAAAACAACAAAAGAAAATAAATATGACCCATTGGCAGAGAGAATGACCCTAGATAACCTAACCAGTTAGAGGGAAACAACAGGAAAAGGGAGGTAAATTTGAACACCAGCTTGTCCTTTCCTTCAGTTAATCATTCACGGGGGAGAAGTCTGTCGTGCCTGCCCTCCACTAGACGGACGCTGAGGGAGGTGGCCTTAGGGACTTTGCCCCATAAGTACACAGAAATGTGGAATCTGACCGTTCCGGTGATCTGTCCAGAGGTCAATACCTGGGATTCCAGTTTTAGAGATTCTCTGTAAGAAAGGAAAGAGATCCCTCGCACCCACGGCAGTCGTTTGCAAAGTCTGTTCTGCAGAACTCCAGGGGTGAGGAAGAGGCGTGAGGACCCCCCCCAGAGCTCAAGGAGGGTCTTCCACCGGGGTCTGCGGCTCCCTGGGAACTAGACGCAAAGTGCTGTGTAAATATCTGAATTTTCCTAAGGAAAAGATGTATAGTTTGCATTGGATTCTCCACACGGCGACTCCAGAAAGGTTAAGCACTTCCCTAAAGAGGATGGGGTCCTCATAAAGACTCAGGGCAGCAGAGCAGCCTTCCCTGCCGCGCGCTGTGGCCTGGCGAGGGGGGGCTGTGGCACTGCATACCAGCAGGGACACACCGTCAGGCGGTGGACCTGGCCCCACCAGCTGTGGGTGCCACTCAGGGCCACATCCCTAGGAAATCTGCGCGACGCCACCAAGCAGACGCAGGCTGCCAGGGAACGTTACTGCTCCAAGTCCCTCCGGACACAGGCCAAGTGGCTGAGCAGAGGGGAGCAGAGCTCTCCTCCTGAGCATGCCACGTGGAACGTGAAGCCTTTTCGGTACTTGTAAGGTAATACAGTGACATGAGGGTTATCACGGTGCCAGTAAAAGAATGAAAGCAAGGGTCAGTTTGTTCACCACGTGATAAAATACCAGGGCAGGCGGCGAGGCCTCCCGGGGCAGGCCCTGGCCTTCGTGGGCGTGGCAGCGGGTGTCGGGGGCGCTTTCCTGAGGAATACACCTACCTGTGTGAAGGAAACCTCTTCTGCAGCTCGGAAATAATTAAATCTTCCACAAGGTGGTCCGTTTCTGTCACAAGATCCGCAGCTGATGTCTTCGTTGAGACCTGCTTTTCCTCGGAAAGGGCTTTTCTGATGATCTGGAACGAAAGTCCAGAGGGGTGGGTTAACCTGACATGCGTCCTCTCGTCCCGGACACGGGAACGACCCCTCCTGGGGGGCTGGTGCTGACTGGCGAGTACCGGGGAGAGGAGTGCGCGGGGGCCTGCAGGCCACCTACTTCTGCCATCACTGGCAGGCCTCCGGGCCTAATATTATATCACAACTTTCTGCTGGAGCATATTCTAGTGAGTCTTCATTACCCACTTTTCTTTTTATAAGGATGACAGACTCACTCGTTGAAGTTATTTTGTTCTACCTGTGAAACAATTTTTCCTTGAAGAAGAAAAACAATGGTTTTGGAGACCATGAAACTTCATCCAGTGTAAGATGATGTAACGCACTTTGACGCATAGGGTCCCATGAATTTGAATTTATGAGATTCCTGTGTAAAAACTTTATTTCCCCTACTTCACTTTGTGAATCACATGAAATGGAACATGCTCTTGCATCCAGATTACAAACGTTCAGACTGAGAAGCCTGGGAAAGCTCAAATGTCCTTCGAGAACACGAAGGAGCAGTCTCCCTGCTGCTCTGGGTCAGGGCATTACTGACTGCCCAAGGGGTACCCGCACATGAACTAGCCTTGGTGCCAAGCAGCCTCACCGAGCCCTCAGGACTGAAGTTGCAGGCAAGTTCTGCAGATGTGTGGGCTGCCAGCACATCCTGTCTAAACCCACTGAGGCTAAATATAGGGGCCAGGAATAGAGGCACCTGACCTCTAGCACCCCCCACCCGGCCTAATCTGGTTCCAGGAACCCCTGGGAGATCCAAACAGGAGGGCACGTAGAGTGGTTATTCATTCATAGGACGCTTCGGAGAGGTCAGTGCTGATTTGTCAAACCAAAACCACCCCTACTCCAGCTCAGGCCTTTCTTGTAATTTCTGTCATTTCTTACCATGACGAGAAAGTTAGAACACCTAAAAAGGACTTCAGACCTTTCCTCCAAAACTGGACACTGGCCCAAAAATCTTGCATTTCTTTCCAAAGCACCTCAATCGCTCAGCTGCCCAGACTTGACATCTTTTGTCCAGCGTGACACATATTCTCTGACCTTGGGTAAGCACTTCCCAAGTACCTTTCCATGTCCACCTGCACTATGTACTGATGAAGCTGAAGAGGAGGGCATGAAGAGATTCACCTGGAGGTCAGCAGACTGGAGGAGAGGCTCACATGGAGTTTTAAAGGAGAACCTTCTAGATATCGAGCAGTCCCTCGTTTTCCTGTTTCTCACAGTAGTCCCCCACCTTAGTACTGGCCCAAACAATACTGAGCCTAGAAAGTATTGTATGTTTTGGATTTTGTATGTTTGGGTTTTTTCCATCTTAGTTGCAAAGGTAATAGATACAAATTATAGAAAATTTGGAGTGTAATGTATTTTATTATTGTTTTTATTATTTTATTTTTTTAATCCTCACATGAGGATATTTGTTTCATTGCCTTTCAGAGAGAGTGGAGGGGGGGAGAGAAAGAGAGAGAGACATTGATGTGAGAGAGGCACATAGAGTGGTTGCCTCCCGCACACGCCCGGATCAGGGCCGGGGATCGAGCCTGCAACCGAGGTACGTGCCCTTAGCAGAAATTGAACCTGGGACCCTTTAGTCCACAGGCCGACACTCTAACCACTGAGCAAAACTGGCTAGGGCTGTATTTTGTAAGTAATACAAAAGACAAAGCATATAGCAGTCATGCATTATGCACTAGCCAAAGACAGTCCCATTCATATTTCTGTACCAGCCCCCAGACTGCCACCTGGGGCCTTCCTGTTCCTTCCATTTGAAACATCCTGCTCATCGCTGTCAGATTCATCTCCTTAAAACACCAATTTGCACAGAGCAAGCTCCCACCAAATAAATCTCCAATGGTTCCTTGTTTATAAATATCAAACTCCTCACATCTAGCTCATATAGAATCTGTCCTGTCCTCCCGTCCTAAATTTTTAGCTAGTCCAGACGTCCTGTCCACAGGTCATTTGACAGTGAGCTTGTATCTTGTATGGCAATTCAGTGTGGTGTGTGTGTGGGGGTGTATGTGTAAATGTGGGGGTTTATGTTGTGTGTAGGGGCAATATGTGGCATGCATGTGTGGTATGTGTATATGGTTTATATGTGTGGTATGTGTATGTGGGTATGTATACATATAGTTAGAGAGGAGAGAGAAATACATCCTAACCAGAGGACATGCCACTAGAGCTTCTCAAATATTAATCATATGGATCACTTGGGGTCTTGTTGAAATGAACACTGTGATTGAATAGGTGTGGGTTTTGGGGTCTGAGATTTGCATTTCTGACAAGTTCCGTGGCGACACTGATGCTGGGGGTCACACTTGAGTAGCAGGGACTAGAGCAGGCTCTGAGTGACGAAGGGTTCTCAGGAGGCTGGGATATCCTGGCACTGCATGTGAGTCCTGGGGCCTCCATCGTGACAGGACACAAGCTTCATTTTCAGTTACCCTATCCCCAAGTGTGGTAGGCATTCATACAATTCCAGATCATGACTCCAACCCTCCACCCTGTAGCCTCTATGTAGAAGCTAGATTAATGGTTTTTAAACATGCATCAGTCTGTATCATTTTAATGCTAGAATTACCCAATGGCTTCCCACCGCTCTTAGAACAAAGCCCCAGATCCCATATGCCGAGACTCTTACCACCTGCCAATCTCACCTCCCAAAGGCCACCTGCACACTCATTCTCCTTCTGCCACTCTGGGTTTCTGGCCTATCCCAACCAAATTTGTTTCTGTCCCAGTGACTATATTTTCTGGTCCTTCTGTCTGGAACTTCTCGCCATCTGAAATAACCTTGTTTGTTCCATGGTTGATGAAACATCTCTCTCCACTAGCACATGAGCTCTGGGATAGCAGTGTTCTCTCTCTTTAGTTCCCTGCGACACTCCTAGCATCTAGAATTGTACCTGGCATAGAGTAGGTGCACAAAATTCTTTGAATTATGAATAAAATACACATCAAACTGCTTGAAGATATTCTGCAGCAGTTTATCCAAGTGGACCTCTCCTGTTTGTGTGAATACTAACCACCTTGGTCTTTTTATTTCATTTCATTGTGGTGGTGTTGTTTTGGTTGTCTGGTTAAACCAAGTCCTATTGTGCTTGAAATCTGCCAAACTCTAGCCTCCACCCACTAACCCACTAGCCCTATCTCCTGTAGCCAGCCAGAATCTGCTCTATGGCACTCAAGTCCATTCTCCACACCACAGCCAGAAGAGAGTGCTAAAACTCTGACCTTAACCATGGCTCTTCCCAGCATAAAGCACTTAATGGCTCCCTATTACTCCCAAGATAAAGTCAACACCTCTGTGAAAGTGGCATGCAATGGCTTTGGAGAGTTGGCCTTACAGCAGACAATCTGACCCCAAATAGCAGTCTCCCTTCTTCCTTTTAGCAACAGAAGCCCCGCGTTCAGCAAGGCGCGAAGCCACCTCAACAGCCTGCACCTCTGCCTCTCGTGCGGGTAGATGTGGCCTGTGACCAAGTTCTGCGCAAGAGGACATGAACAGAAGTTATATGTGCAACTTCTCAGTCATGTCCTTAAAAGGCCACTTCCTCTTGTTCTTTTCCCCTTTGCCACCAGGTGTGATGTAGCGTGTGGTGGTGAGAGGTCAGTTTTGGTCACACGGAAAAAGAACACCTCCTTAGAGCAACAAGCAGAAAGAAACCTGGGTCCCTGAGTGACTTCGTGGAGCAGAGGTGCTGCTCCCCAGACCTCTAACTGGATTTCTATGGTAAAGAGAAAGGAATCCGCCTTGCTTCTGTTATTGGTCTCTGTGATGGAAGCCAAACCACCGCCTAACAAATACAGGCCTCGCCTAACCTTTGCCTTCTCATCTCCCCCTACCCCTCCTCCTCGCTGCCTTACTATTGTTATGCTCCAGCCCAATTCTCCTTCCGACAGAACTGCCAGCCTTTCTCTGGCCCATGTGGTGTTCCCTTCCTTTGTGACTCGGTTCAGATGTCACCTCCTCTATGAGGCTTCAACTTCTTCAGGCAGAGCGGGGCATCCTCCCCTTAAATGTGCTCCCAGAGCATTTATGCAAGTCATATAACTGGCCCTTGGTGTTCCACAGCAATCCACTCCAGCCTAAGGGCCCTGGTCTGTTTGTTTCTGTACCCACCTCCCACAGGTGTGCTTTCCAGCCAAGATAGGGGCTGCCACAAAGTCGGGCCTCAGTGAGCATGTGCTGAAAGAATAAAGATTTCTTGACTGCTGCATACTAAGCTCATAGGTCACTGAAGTCTGGAAGACTTTTTAGCAAGTGCCCTTGTGAAGTCACATCTAACCTCACTGGTATTTATGCATTTGGTCTCCTGGATCCAAAATATACACAGCTCTACTATGCTGAGGAGATGCATGCTCAGGGGCATGTGTGGGCAGTTTGGGGAATGTCTGATGTCATCTGGGCAAACTCTTCAGAGGAACTAAGACCCTAGCTATAAATCATACGCAGAAGGGTAGATGTGTGGATTCAGAAGGAGCATGTTATATTGTGTTCTTTTAAAAAATATTTCTTTTCTGTTTTTATTAGTATTATTGTTGTGCTATGATCATTATGTGTGGCATGTACCACAAGGAAGGCCACAGGCCTGAATGTTCCCTTGTCCTGTAGAAGCAGGGCAGGCCACCCCACAGTACTGTGGCCAGTCCTCTCTCATCTGCTGCTGCTGCTCCTTCAGGCCCTGGCTCACCATCCACTCATCCAGTTACACATACAGGCATTCAGATTGCACTTCTGAATTATTTGCCTAAAGTATGCTGCCCTTCTCACATTGCCTACTATCACTTGCCAGCATTGCTGAAACAGCCTCCAAATATCCTTTGGTCTTGCTCCTCTGAAGAGCTGTCCACCCTGTGCAGGGTGGCCTCTCTGGAAAGGAGATCTACCTACTGGTACTCTCTGTGTCTCGTTGGGCTCACCAAGACAATGGCAGGCTCGTGTCTGGTGTGAGGTCCTCCACAACAG